ATAGATAGGTCTCATAACCATTAGAATATCCTAAAAATTTCAGACCAAAATAATGTTCTGTTCTTGAGATATCTAATGTTGAAGACACTCGATTTTCTGACCTTTGTTCGTGGCACATGATTGCTTTTGAGACATTCAATATCTCAAGAATAGAACATTATTTTGGTCTGAAATTTTTAGGATATTCTAATGGTTATGAGACCTATCTATGGGTGAAGTTTCACAGCGAAAATCCGTAATTCAGTTTTCTCATATAAGTCTAGCCAAAGGTCAGAAATCCAGTAAAACGGTCATCACTCAAGTAAGATAAGGTATGGGGGCGAACCCATTTAGGTCTTTTCTAGTCTCATCAAGCTCTACAAACTGGTATATATCCGATTCAAAACGGTGCGTAACACTTGGGGACCTTCCCTCGTCAGCACAACCCTCTAGAAACCCAACGCAAATCGTGGAGCGAATGTCGCCCATATCAATAAAATCGTCCTACTTTTGGTGCTTATTCGGAATTTTCTAAATAAAACGTCGATTTCTGCGCGATTTTAATCACATGGTTAGGCGGAAATACTGGTAAGAACTCTATAAAAATTCAACGTTTCAGATTGAATACCTATTTTTCGAGCGATGACCAATCTTGAATATAACAGTATTCAATGCAAAGTCAACTTTTGCACTCAAAATATCCTTGTAGAGGTTCAATACAAGTCACTGGTTGATTTTGAGCAGAGATTTTTGAACCCGCTGTCAGCTTTACTTACATCATTTTTTTGTGTAGGTTTTATCTTATGTTAGGCAAAAAGGAAGTATGTGTTAGGATTGTAGTGTTTCCCTACAATCCTGAACGAAGATTAGATGTCCCTTCTAGTCTAACTGGCTAAGACATCTGCCCGGATAGCAGAAGATATGTGGTTCGAGTCCCATAAAGGGCATCTTTTTCTTCGTTCTGTGGTCATATCATCTCGCTGTTAGTCCTGCGCCTAACAAATAATTGTTAGCTCTAATATGTATAGAACGAAAGAGACAAGCAGTGTCACTGATGTTATGTGACAGAACGAAGAAAAAGATGCCCTTCATGGGGATCGAACCCATGCCTTCTGCTCTCCGGGCAGATATCCTACCAGTTAGACTAGAATAACGTATTAATCTTCGTTAGCGTCAGTATGTATCATCACTGACGCTAACACTATGACACATTTTTTCGTATGGGTTTTATCTTATGTTACACAAAAAAGAAGTAAGATACATTTTTCTGCTTTTTTTTTCTTTGTTATTCAATAACGTCCTATTTTCTTTCTCTATAAAAGCAGCTTGTTATCAAGAGTAGAGGCACCATTTTCACTCGCTTCCAATCACATGTAAGTATTCACTTCATAAAAGACAAGCATAACATATCATAGGAAATAAGCAAGTTGCATTAGTTGAAGAAGTGTCAGTTTCAGCATTGACTACAGTTAGCTAAAAGGAATACTCAGTTTGTAATTCAAAAGATCATAGACTCCAAAAATGTGCCGTTGGAAAGAATTGGTCTCATTTCCTATACTATTACATATAGCTGCCTTGAAATGTGCTAAGAAATACTCTACGCTCATCATGGCGCTGCAAGAAACTGAAACAGGTAGAGCTCATCAACTGGTTCGAACACATATTCTGGAAGATGCGTTTTGTTTTCTGTAAATAATTAAAAGTTGAGCAAATCTTGTTACTATTTATGATTCGAGATATTACTTTTGGAATCACTTGAGCCTACCTGGACGCTTCTCACTTGCTCCACAGTCTACTATATATTATAGATCTAAATATGAAGATTCCTCTATACTGTCCTGCGTTGGTTTTCGATAAAGACAAAGCGAATAGCACAAGCTTTGCTCCCTAGGCGACCTTCTCCGAATTGAATAATGAACCACATCTTGGCGAACAAGTCATGACATGGTTGGCTTCTGAAAATACACACTCTCAAGTAGGGGTGTCAGCGTTCCCCTTCCCTACCGTTCCGTTCCTGGGAATGGAAATCTGTATAAGACTGTGTTCCCGGGTTCTCCGATCCTAAGAATCCGGAAATCCGCTCAGGCTTCAAGTACCGTTTTTTTTCGAAGGTCGGATTCTTAATAAGAGGAACCCGCCCGGGTTCCGGGTTTTTAGTAACGGGAACGCATAGTATATTTCGCGTTCTCGGGTTCCTGGGAACGGGGAACCCGCTTCGGGTTCCGTTCCTGAGAACGGGAACTCGCACCGTGTTCCGGGTTCCTAGGAATGGAACGCGAACCTGACACCCCTACTCTCAAGTGATGAGGCGAAGAGGTCTCTATAAGTTAGTGCAAGATGTAAGTACGGTAGGCGTCGTACTCTCTCGTTCCTAAAATCATGGGCTTTCATAGCCACTTTTGGCAAAGTGTTCACACCTCAAGTTGTAAATCGACCGGCTTAGCTGCCGCAGCTGACGACCAAACGGTTGAGCACACCATCGTCACTGCACTTGAAACAATAATATTTGTTTTTTGAGTACTTTAAGCATTCAAGACTACTCTCTAAAAGATAAAGGTGTCATAGTGAACCATTAAAAGATTGTAGCAAAGATTCTGAACCTTTTATGGTTCAAGATTTGGGCACCATTTTAAGAACCTTTTTTGGGTTCCAGCCAAACAATCTAAAACTTAAAAAAGGTTCAGTCGAAAAGTATGAAACCTTAAATGGTTCAAAATTTCGGCTAAAACCAATAAAAAAGGTTCTTAAAATGGTACCCAAAAAAGATTCCGTACGACACCTTTCTTTTTAAAGAGCAGTTTTCAGAGCATCTCTAAGCTAGGTTCTTATGAAAGCATTCCCTACTATTGAGTTTCCTTTTGTATTTCAAAATATCTCGAAAATGAGAAGTTTTTTGAAAAAATTTCAGCCACCACTCTCAAGAAATGGGAACTCTTAAGCCGCGGCTGACTAAGGCATCGGCTTACAATTCTATTTATACTGTACGTGTCGACATTCTCTCGAATTGGGCGTAAATTCTTTTAATCTCGCAGCAAAATTAGCCATACCAAGCATTCGTTGTCTTTAATGCAGTCTAGATATCAACATCATAGGCGATGGGAGAGGTTTTTGCGAAGTAAATAATCGGGCACCAACTGTTTTCTGTCATTTCAGATTTCGAAACAATATAACAGCCACATGGAAATGGACGAAACATACAGTGCCATCGAAGAAAACAAAAAAGTACGACGATTATTGAATATTGAAGATTATCATCAACGTGCACAACAAATCCTACCGCAAATGACTTACGATTTTTATCGTACGGGATCGGACGATCAAGTTACATTAGTTGATAATCAACTAGCTTATCGTCGTATAAAATTACGTCCAAAAATTTTTATTGACGTTTCTTCTCATCCACCATCGAATTCAGTGAATCGTCATACGAAACTTTTAAATTCTTCTGTAACAATTTCATTTCCATGTATCATTGCTCCAACAGCAGTTCACTGTTTAGCTAATCGTGAACATGGTGAATTGGCTACAGTTCGTGCAGCTGTTACTCATTCAACGATTATGTGTATTTCAACACTTGCATCAACTAGTATGGAATCAATAGCTGAAGAGCACCGACGTCAAATTAAAGAACATTATCCACAGAGTTATTCACAACTTTGGTATCAATTGTATGTGTTTAAAAATCGACAACTAACACAACAGTTAATTGAACGAGCTGAACGTTGTGGCTACAAAGCAGTTGTAATTACAGTTGATTTGTGTGTATTAGGTAATATACGGGTATTACTATTTTACGGGAACAGCATGAACAGCCAAGTTTGTGAGATCGCATATAAGTCATCTTTACGAACACCCACAGCGTGTAGAGTTATATTCACGAACACCCATTTTCTAGGAGCAATAATGAAAAAAAACTGTCAACAAAGACTAAAAATGACCCCTCTCAACACGAACACCCAGAAGCTCTGTTATAGCCTACGCNCAATAAACAGATATCATTTATAGAAAAAAAATGATACGCAGAGACCAGTTGACTTGACATGATCTAGATATGATCCGTTTTCGTGAAAAGAAGAAAAGTCAGCATCGTCTGATGGTGTATGAGAGCGATGGAACCAAACAGTACTATATAGATGTTAATAAGAAATTGACTGTTTAATAAAATATAATATGTTAGATAATTGGTAACTTTAAAAGTCATAAAAGCTCCAATGATGAGCTTTTAACCAGAGAACACGCAGTGAAACCTTTCAAAATTGAGGTAGTTTTTCGTGAATATCCTCCTAAAATTGATTATTGCAACCTACATAAAATCATGAAATCGGTGGGCTTCTTCAGTTTATAATTTTCTATCGAAGAACATTTGAAGGCTCTATCTGTCATTTATCTCTGCGGAATTATAAAAATAGAAAGAATGGTAAAAATTCAAAATTTGGAATAAGTTTTTCAAATTAAAATTTTGTTTTCACCACTCAATTTTTTTTTGAATACTAGCCTTCCAATGCTGAATCCGATTCTGAAATCAAAAAATGTGCATTGCAAATCAGTTCCATCAAAATCTCACTTTTTTTCATTGCTTAAAGCTGAAAAATCTTGGTTTTCCGGAACTTTCACTTGCGAGGCTTGTACAGAAATTTTTCTCTAAAATATAAGAAGAGCATCTCAGAAAACGCTTTAGAATTAGAGGACAACTTATGGCAATCAGTCCTTTTCAAAATACTCTACATCAACTTTCCAATGTGGACGCCTGTTGTGGGCCCGTTACCTAAGCAACTAACTGAATCATATATCTATAAGTAGATAGAAAGTTGATAATGGTGCTGATAAGTCTAAATTTCGTTCTATGAACGTGTTAAAAGGAACCTCTTGGGTGTACATGGTCACATTTCGACCCATCACATGTATTTTGAGAACAAAAGTCCTATAAGAATTCATTTGGGGATGCCATGTCCTTTGGTCAAAACGTAGCTTATGGGATTCTGTGGGTGTTCGTAGGAGTAAGTTGGGTGCTATTAAGCTTTTAAAATGGACCTCTTGGGTATATATGGTCAAATTTAATCGATCTCGTGTTTTCAGAGAAAAAATCTTATAAGGATTTTTTCTAGGATGCCATGTCCTGTGGTCAAAATGTAGCTTATGGAGTTCTGTGGGTGTTCGTAAGAAAAAGTTTAAGGTGTTTGCGTAGGCTATAACAGAGATTCTGGGTGTTCGTGTTGAGAGGGGTCATTTTTAGTCTTTGTTGACAGTTTTTTTTCATTATTGCTCCTAGAAAATGGGTGTTCGTGAATATAACCCTACACGCTGTGGGTGTTCGTAAAGATGACTTATATGCGATCTCACAAACTTGGCTGTTCATGCTGTTCGCGTAAAATAGTAATACCCGTAATATGCAGTCCAGAAACAATGTCTATTTGGATAATAGGGAGACACACGGAAAAGGGAATGAGACGGAGGAAGGAATAATCCTGGAAACACCCCTGCCTTTCTCTAGGTCAAGTGAGTACTAAACTCTTCTTTTTAAAGGTAAATTGAGCTAATATTGGGTAGTAAGTGACGGAATTTGGTTGAGTCAGACCTCACAGGAAAAAATGAAGGAATATCATAACTGAGTGTTTAGGTATTGTGGGCCATTAGCACTGAGTAATTTTTGAAATATAATTGTACTCTATGACCAAGCAAAAACAAAAGAGAAACAAATTCTTTACTGCCTACTGCCATGATGTTCTAGCATTATTGAAAAGAACCATCCATCAGGCTTTCAAGAAAATCTCACAGCGGTTAACAGGAGTCATAGAGTCGAAGAAGATGTCAGAATTCGATGAAGATACGATTTAATTCTGTATACTCACGAGGGAAGGTCACCTAGTATTCCTTAGCTTTTGAGCTGAGACTATATGCATCATGTAGGCCCTAATGAGTTATGAGTACCCTGAAAAGAGTTCGGACTAATAGCTTATTGCTACTAAAATAATGCATTTTTACGGTATTTTTTAATAGAAGGCTGTGATCCTCCTGAAAAACACCAGAAAAACTGAGTTTCGAATTTCGAGCTGCAACATTTCACAGAGAAAGGGCTTAACAAGAATAGTCCATTGTGAAAGTTTTAGATCTTTTGATTGCTCCTTGCCTGAAATAAAAACATCGGAATTCGCCGGTGTATATGAGTGATGTACACTCTAAAAAAAATAGGTTTTCTACAGAACCTGTACCCAGGATAAGAGCCTTTGGGGTTTTGTATCAATTTGCAGAACCTGAAAAAGCTCAGATATTTTTCCACTAAACTTTTTAAGGTTCTGCAAATAGATACAAAACTCCAAAGGTTCTTATCCTGGGTACAGGTTTTGTAGAAAACCTATTTTTTTTAGAGTGTACGGTTATAATTTTTCCATAGCTGCATTTTAGAATAAGAACAACAAAAAGATGTGACACTTTCACAATAGACTATTCTTATTAAGGCCTTTCTCTGTGGAAAGTTGCAGCTCGAAATTTGAATCTCAATTTTCCTGGTGTTCCTGAGGAGGATCATACCCTTCTATTAAAAAATACCGTAAAAATGTAATATTTCAGCAGCAATAGGCTATTAATCCGAACTCTTTTCAGGGTATTCATAACTCATTAGGGCCTACATGATGCACATAGTCTCAGCTCAAAAGCGAGGGAATACTTGGTGTCCTTCCCTCGTTAGCAATCTATATTCTATTTGTTCATTAATAGTAGCTTCACTACGTTACTCTTAATATGTTATAACGAATGAACAATCCTCTAGGCAATATTACGTTTTTTACTTCAGACTTTTCTCCTGTATTCTCACATTTTCCTGGTTCGAGCTTTGACTCATTAGTAAAATATTCGTTTATGAAATCTCGAGCGTTTTCCTGAAAAATATCTCTCATACTCACCGATGAGTCAGTCACCAACATCTCTACAATACGCAGAGCACTTTTCATGAATTGTCTGTTATTTTCTACTATACTCTCCTTTCCCACCAATGTTTCTTCAAAGTGACTTGAGCTCCAATCTGAAATGACGTTAAAGCTCGAGTGTAGGAGAGAGTACCAGAGTTTTTTTTCCATTACTCAGGCGTCATTTTTTTAGGTAATCGTGAATGTGATATACATAATGATTTCGCCTTGCCTGATGGTATTCGTGCTGAAAATCTAATTGATGACACTGATGATAATGCTTTTAAGTGGGCTTATGATTCATCTTTGTCATGGAAAGATTTGGGATGGATTCGATCGATTACACGTCTTCCCTTGATTGTTAAAGGAATTCTGCATCCTGATGATGCACGTGAAGCTGTACGACATGGAGTTCAAGGTATTGTCGTATCAAATCATGGTGGGCGGCAGTTGGATACAAGTCAATCGGCGATTGAAGCTCTACCAGATATCATACGAGCTGTAAGAAGTGAAGCAAAAAATTGTGAAATGGATGTCTATATTGATGGTGGTATTCGACGAGGAACAGATATTTTAAAAGCATTGGCTTTAGGAGCAAAAGCTGTGCTGGTGGGAAGACCCATTTTATGGGGTCTAGCAGTCGATGGAGAAAAAGGTGTGAACAATGTGTTGCAAATATTGAAAAACGAATTTCAAACGGCTATGATGTTGTCCGGATGTCAAACTATTGAAGATATTAGCAAAAATGATATTTTAGTAATGAATGGCAATAAAAACGAATCAAAGTTATAACTGTCAAAGGTTTATTTTGTTGAAAAAAAAATTTGCTTTCAATTTTGTTTTCAAAACTCGGTTTCTCGAGAAATCGATAATATGATGATACTATTCTAATTCGCGAATCATCGATTTACAAAAAAATTTTATCAGCTATAAACGAATGTGTTCATCAACCTTGTTTAGCTATGTTCGCCGAGAAAATAAAAGGACAGGGGGGGGGGTGTTGCTAGCAAAATCGACCCTATTTGAGAGTGTGAGTCTCGGTCTGCCAAGATCCTCAGGATTTCATGATCTTCGAAAAGATCATTCCTCAGTTGGATCAACTATCATAATCTAGATTTCATGTCGGTTAAGACAATCATCAGATGGTAATAGAATTTCAATGATTTTTCGATCACAAAAGTTTTTTTTTTATTATGCTTTATTGAAATGATTAATGTCTTAAGGCCTATTAAGACACCACCAATGAGGTACCTATACATTAAGAAGAAGAGTGTAATACACACATCGCCACATAATTTTCTGATATATATAAAGAGGGGTAGAAAGCACAATAATTTTCTCGAATGATATACCATTATATACACCACCACAGGATCATACAAAGGAAAAAAAGAAATTCACATATCAAAAGAGAAGATCACCTTGAAGATCTAGTCATTGTATGGTTAACATTGTTGTTGTTGGGAGATATAAAAAGTGGATCATGATTAACCATGTTAAAATCATTAATCATCTTGGATTTCATAATTTCGTTTTGAGCAAAACGATTAGTCCACATAGTTAGATCATTTGCCATCTTCTCACTTACACTAGTTAATGATGGCATAGTAACGTTTTATCTTGAATAACATTTTGCTTGACCAGTGTTGGTAAAACTTCGACAATTACTTGAACGAGTGGGGAAATAAATTGGTTAACATATTCACGTTGAAAGGTAATATCATATTTTTGTAGAAGAAGTTCATGATCATGTTTTGCCAAAACCTTTTGTGTTCGAGCAAGTTCATCTAAAGAATTATTATTAAGTTCAAGTATTCTATTAAAATTTTCCTCCAGTTTATTAAAGTTGCTAAATAAATCATCAATACGTTTACCCGAACTGATGAATGATTCATTACCTCGATGTTGATTACCATGTTTAACATTTAATATTGGAAAATCATTACCATTAGGACAATACTTTGTTGTTGGATTACCTGGATGATTTTTATCTGCACCGACTGAAGGTAATAAAGATTTTGTTAACATCGCACGATAAGATTTGATATCAGGACAACGAGAATCGTTCGAATCATGGTCACCTGAGCACCTAATACAACATTTTTTATTTATACAATCATTATGTTGTTTAAGATCTTCAACACCCCTACCACATACCCCACATACTTCCAATTGACTTTTGCAATTACTTCTAAGATGTCCAATTTGAAAGCATTTCGAGCAAATTAACACCTTGGCAGTAGCTAAATATTCAGTAACTGGAAGACGAAGATTATCAATATAAATAAATTTCTTATTTGATAAATTTTCAATAGTTTTAACACCAGCAATATCAAGTCGAACAATAGATGTAGGAAGTTTGTTTCTATTTAATAAACGAAATGCATTTATAATATCAGGATAATCTTTTTGTAAATCCATAAGTAAGAGATTAATATCTTTTTCAACAGGTACATGACGAAGAATGACAGAAAATTGAGGCGGCAGGTGATTTGGTCGAGTCTTATCATAATCAAATGAACCGATGGCTTTCGGCCATTTGCTATCATCGAAGAGAATTAGAAAAGATTCTTTGTTTTCAACAAATATTAATAATTCTCGTTTATTTTTTAACCGATGACCAGCCAATAAAATATTAACTTTATAGATGTCAACAAAATATTTCAAGATGTTATTGATCATCGATTTTTCATCGACATATTGTTGGAATTTAATTACAAATGGTGGAAATGGGTATCTTGTTTCAGCGTATCTAATTGCTTGATCAGAAATTTCATATGTAGCACCTCCTGTACTTGGACCATCTCTTGTACTGATATGTGTTACAGGTTGAGTAGTATTATGAGGTCATACTTTTGTTATTAAACTGTCGGTGTTAGTAGACGAGGTTGCACAATCAGTTGATGATGTTGATGTTGGAGTTTTAAGTTGTACATGTTCTGTTTTAGTTTTCTTCTTCTTTTTTTTACGACGAGCCCGTAGTGAAGTTATCTTCATTTTCACAATCCATTGGTGCCACAACATTTTGATGTTGTGGTTGATGAGTTAACTGTTGATCCTGTACATTATGAGATTGATGGATCGTGTTGTTGTTGGATGTGGAGTAAGAATTTGCTGTTATTAATTGATGATTAAGTTGATTGTTGAACATTGGTGTTGGATGTTGCTGGTACATGGGGGTAAAATATGGATAATTTGTTATTGGTTGTTGATTCAAGCTGTTATTATTGGTGTTGTTGGTGAAACATAGCTGGTTTGAAGAACAAGGATGAGACTGTGAAGATTGAAAATTGGGTACAAACGTTTGTTGAGCAGAATAATTTTGAAAATTTGTATGAACAGTTGGTACATTGGAAGAACATTGATCATTCACAGTAATATTATTGAGAAGAGGAAGTTGCGAAGATTGGTGGGGGTAAGGTGGTTGAGAATGAACAGGATTATTCATGCTGTTCAGCATGTCGGCTTAGTCGAAGAACTTGATATTAATTAATGGACGTAGATAATCAGGAATCAGTCACGTGGAGGAGAAACAAAGAAAAAACGTGGCCACAGAACGAAAAGGATTGAATAATATATATATCTATATATATATAGTTAAAGAAAAGAAAGGAGAAAACACGTCTTAACCGTACATGTATTGTATGGCGAATGATTTTTCAATCACAAAATTCAATTAATCTATTATATATACAATCAATCAATCAATAGCTTTTATTCAATCAAGTTAAAGGGAAGATAACAATGATGAAAGCACTTCAGCTGTTCGTTCTTTATATGTCGTTCGGTTTCTTGCAAGTTGATGCCAGTTTCTTCCTAGATTGTCCTGCATGAGTTTACGCCATCGGTCTGCTGGTCGTCCTCTCGGTCGTCAAAAGTTGTATGGCCACCAAAAGGTCGTGCGATTTGTCCATCTGTTGTCTTCACGTCTTGCTGCGTGACCAACCCAGCGGAACTTTCGTTGAAGAGCATCGATGTAAGCGTCTTTGAACTTGGTTCGTTGGCGAATGATATTGTTCGGGATTTTCTGAACTAATTTGATGCCGAGCACTCGTCGTTCTATAGCTCTTTAGGTTGTTTGGAGCTTTTGCTTATTGCTCTCCCGCATAGCCCACACCTCGCAGCCATAGTTCAGTACCGCTAGAATAGTAGAGTTGAATAAATGCGCTCGTAGTGTGGCGTTTTTCGTTTTCTTCATTATTTCTTCTATGTTTTTGAAGCTAAACCACGCTGCACTTCGTCGTCGTCGAATCTCATCTTCAACTTTGTGGTCTTATGTGATCGTTTGGCCAAGATAGGTGTATTTGTTAACGAATAGGATGGTATCATCGTCTAGCTTGATGGTTTCACTACCCAGTCAGACAATTCTCTTTAAAAAACGCGTTAAAATTTCATCAAAACGGTGTTTTAACGGTACTTTAGCGTTAAAACGCCGTTTTAACGATTTTGTTAACGCATTTTAACGCATTGTAGGTTCCTCAGTACGTTAAAATGCGTAAAAATATTTAGCCTTTCGTTTTAACGCGTATATGGCTCAATTTTGACGAGTTTTATGGTGTTAAAAAGTTACGACGCGTATTAACGCGAAAATTATCATTAAAAGAACGTATTTTTACGCATATTTTTTTAACGAGTATTACTATGTTCAAGAATCAATCATCATTTCTATGTTTTTACTTGAATTTAACGTGTTGAAATGAGTTTGCCTACTACGATTAGTTAAAACTCAGAGCCTCATATTCGATAAATTAAATTCGTATAAACAAATGTCACCTTTTAATATTTCATTAGAGTACATTATTGCACTTTAAGCAATCATAAAAATGTATGGCATTCCATGAAGATATCTGACTTCTTTTGTCCTCTAATTTTGCAAGAGCATGCGAATTCTCATTGTACATTGTTTAACTTCTTCAAATAAAATTTTCATGCCATCGAAATTTTCATGCCATCGAAATTTTATTTGGTCTGCTTGTAATTCAGCATAGTTTTATACATGTAGTGTGTCTTGTATGTATCTGTTGTGTCAAAGTTACACCGGTCAACAAAGTTATAACTTCGACAAAAAAAATCGTCGAAGTTATTTTTTATTCAGCTGTCGATAAACAATTTACTAAATTGAATTTTGTATTGTTGACTGTATTAGAAAAGTTTTTTTCAATAAGTATCATTTATTCAACAATACTGTTTATTCAAATATAGCATAATCATAATTCAATTTTTTATTTTTATTCATCTTTTTTTCATTTAGTTAACTTATAAATTCTATTATTAAAGCTAACAATAATAAAATAATGAATAACTCACATGCTTTTGTTGTTTATTATAACCTTTCTTGTCAAGAAAGAAAGCATTGAATTATTTAAAAACGTTTTTCTTGCGAAATGAAATAATCAAAATGTTCAATTATAAGTAGCGTTAGCACTTTAACTTAAGCTTATAAAGTTTAAAGTAATCACTTAACCTTATGTTCTACAAAAGAAAAGTTAGAGCGCCATCAATATTACGGAGAACATCATCGATACATATATCTAGTTTTACTCTTTTTTTAAAGTTTTAAATATTACGTTGTAAATGAAGGAACCTAAAAGTAATGTAAAGATAATTATATAAGTAGTAGTTGTATTATGAGTATTTTACTTCAATGTTGGTCATGGTTGAGCTTTTCTGCATTATGATAAAAAGTAGTCAAAATTTTCGCCTTTGGATTGACTGTAACAGTTGTCTTCTGGCTCACCTTTGTGTATAATAATTTCTTTCAAAACCTTATCATCATGTTTGGAAGTTTCATTTTGTTGTTTACTGTTTATCTTACAACACTTTGAACATATGAATCGAATAATCATCAGAAGAAAAGGTGCAGTTATTAATAATAGTGGCATTTGAAATTTCAATATTTTAAGAAACTTGAATATAGATTTTATTTTATGAAAACTGAATATAGATTTTATTTTATGAAAACTGAATATAGATTTTATTTTATGAAAACTGAATATAGATTTTATTTTATGAAAACTGAATATAGATTTTATTTTATGAAAACTGAATATAGATTTGGACTTTTTACGCATTGTTCGTGATAGAATCGATTTATAAGCGTATTTAAAAGCCATGGTGTGAAATCGTGTGGTTGGATTCGTATTCCAACGCACATTCAGTCCATCTAGAAAAAGAAATCAACTATAATGATTTTTTT